TGAGTGGCATTTCCGCGCTGCAGCTCGCCAAGGAGAAGAGCCACACCGCGTGCGTGGACGCCTTCCGGAAGCACCTCGAGGAGCTGAGGGCTCGGCGCGACGCGGCAGCGGGCGAGGCGAGTGCGGCAGCGGCGCTCCTCGGCGGCATGGCGAGCGTGGGCGGCGACTCTTCCGCTCCGTGGGCGTCGAACCGCCAAGGCGCGGGCCCGCCTTCGCTGGAGGTGGGCTCGCGGGTGTGGGCCAAAGACGGCTCCGGCAAGTGGAGAAAGGGGACGGTCCTGGCGGCGAGGGCGAGTGGCGCAGGTGCGTCTGGCATGACCGCTGCAGCGGCGGGATCGAGCACCAGCGAGCCAGCTCCTGCCGGCGGCGAGGGTGACTCTCCCAAGCGGCCGCTGGTGGCCGCACCGGCGACCCCCGACGGACTGCGCGCCATCGCGGCAGCGATGACCGAGCCCGGCAGGCCAAGGTGGCCAGCGCCGCCGCCGTCGGCAACCCAGCCCGCCGGAATCGAGATCATGGGAGCGGTCGAGCGCGGCGACGAGGCGGCGGTACTGGCATGGATCGAAGCCGGCGGAACGATCGAGACGACATGGACGATCGGGCCCGTTTCCGACGGCTCTGTAAGCGGCCTCACGCTGCTGATGAGCGCCGCTCGCTACGGCCGTGATCGGGTAGCCGACTTGCTCCTTCGGCACGGCGCGGGGGTCGACCACCTGCCGCCAGCGTTCGACATGATTGGCATTGCAGGAGGTGCCACTGCGCTGGTGATCGCCGCCCGTCTCGGGCACGTGCCAGTCATCGACGTGCTGCTACTGCATGGCGCGGAGGTCGACCGGCAGGACAGCTACGGGGCAAGCGCGCTGTCGAACGCCGCCCACTACAACTTCCCTGCCGTCGTGCGCCAGATGCTTCGGGCGGGCGCAGACACGAGGCTGCGCGACAATGCTGGCGACACTGCGCTGCAGGTTGCCAAGGCGAGGGGCCACACCGAGTGCGCACACGCCATCGAGGAGCACCTCACCACCGAGAAGGCGGCTGAGAAGGCGGCAAGGGCGGCGGAGCTGGCAGAGGTGACAGCGGTGAGGGAGGCGGAGAGAGCGGCGGCGGAGGTGGAGGCGGCGCGACATGCCACGGCGCTGCTGGCGGAGATCGAGGCGGAGGAGGCGGCAGAGAAGCACGGCAAGGGCAAGAAGGGCAAGAAGAAGAAGAAGAAGAAGGGCAAGGGCGGAGGGAGTGGCGGCGCTGGGCCGTCGCAGGAGCCCAAGGAGGCGGCGGAGGCAGCGGCGGAGGCGGCGGAAGCGGCGGCTGCGTTGGCGGCTGCAGAGGAGGCGGAGCTAGCCGCAGCGCTCGAGGAGAGCGCGAGGCTGGAGGACGAGGCGAGGCGAGGGGCGGGCGGGACGTCGGGCTCCGCGCTGCAGGACGCAGCTCAGTGCCCCGAGCCGGCCGCGGGGAGCGAGGTGCCGCCCGAGCTGCAGTGCCCGCTCTCCTTCGAGATCATGTCGGACCCGGTGATGAACGTCGCTGGCCAAACCTACGAGCGAGTGGCCATCGAGAAGTGGTTCGCGATGGGCAACCGCACCGATCCGATGAGCGGCGTGGTGCTTGAGTCCATGCTGCTGGTGCCGAACGTCGCGCTTCGAAGCATGTGCCGCAAATATCAACCCGAGGCGTGAACCGCCGGCCGACCCGCAAGAGCCCCAGTCGTCTGGC